ATCCATGACACCGATTGATCTCTCAGAAGCCAGCCCTTTTTAAGGACTTTAACGGCACGCACAGCCGTAATTGTGAAAAAATTTCACTGGGGCTTCATGTCCGGAAAAGGTCAGAGTGAGAAGTGCTTCACAAAGGTTGACTCGCTTGTGACGCTGAAATTGCCTTTGCCTCAAATGCCCTATTCTTCGGCGTTTTATCGCGTTTTCAGACCCCATTCTTAACGTATAACTCCCTGCAATAAGCCCGTCGCTGAGCGCTCTCTCCTGCATCGATGGCACCATCGTATCGCGTGAGTCAAATAAGTTTCACTAGAAAACTTGGTCAGGTTTCATTTAGCTTAGCCTAGCAGTATAGGAGAACTCAAATCGTTTTTAATTATTCCTTTGTGATAACTACTGTGAACTCAACCTATTAACTGTTAATTATACATAAAATAGGAATCGCTGAAATAGGAATCGAAGATCAAATAGCAGAAAAGCAGAAGAAGAAATAGCAAAAGAGATATGCTGTAAATATGTTTTTCAGCTTCCACAGATTCCCTTATATAATAGATTACGTGCAGTGACAGCCAAGATCAAGCGTTGGAGGTGTAATTTGAGAAGAGGTGCATTTTTTTGTTTGTGGAGAAGAAAAGCCCATTTGAATTCCTACTTTGACGGAGAGAAGTGGGTTGGCTCGCATGTTGTCTCTTCAGGGCCAGCTCCAGCGTATGCTATCGTCTCACTTAGCGATACAATTCATCTTCGACTCTAGAAAGTTAGGGTCTCTGGCAGGCTGGTCTCATGGGCCAATTGAGGGCAATTGCCAGGGAACAATGAACGAAACTTAGATTTCAGGTTCAGCAGAATAGCTACGGCGAGCAACCAATTTAGCACGCACGAAATAGGACCAGAGCGATAGACCGCTTCGAACGAAGTGCTCTCGTAAAAATTGTCCCGCAGAAGGAAAGGCGAAGTCACAGCTCCCAAGCTATCAAATCTTTGAGTTGGCAAGTGTACGCAATGAATGAACGCGAAGGGGTATGCACTTCACAGGGTGCGCCATAAATATGGCAGCAAAATGATTTGGCTACAGAGACAGCAGTTCATATTGATACATGGTGAATTTATGTGGACTATTCACTATGAATCCCATTTACCAAACGAATCCACCGTCATCTTATATGACCGTCTCCTGTACCAATTATAACTCGATGACGCTTCGGCTACTCATCGACGGTGGCACGCAGAGTTTCTTGAGAACCTCTAGCCCGGGCTTCTTTTAGTGATGAAGCAGCAATAGTGGTGCGTTTTGAAGTGCAGGGATTGGAAGGTGGGATATGGTCGCGAACATCTCTTTAGCACCAGTCTCGATCTTCTAGCACTCGTGAGCAAGTGCGCCGTAGTTTTCAAAATGGGTCCGTAGAAAAACCTTTGACCCTTCGCTGCATCCTTTCAAAAACACCCTTATTGAAGAAGTTTGGAATACATTTTGTACTTTTCTCGCCAAAATTTGCGATATCGCTCTTCTAGCCCAAACTATCATGAAAGAGGGAAAATGATTTTGAGAGGCGATCCGACTCTTTTCAATGGCTTCAGCACTCGTAGTGTGGAATATACGTGTACTTCGGGATCTCAAAATTTTTTCCACGCTAAACACCCTCTATTCAGAAGAAATGAGTATGGAAGCGCGGGCAGCGCGCTAGCGCACGGTATTTCTTTTTTCTCTCCAACTTCTCTTCAGAAAGAATCTTCAAAAAGCTTATGAGGCTTTTGAGTCTTACTCAGATACAATCTTATTCATCTGGACAGACTGTTCCTATCGGATTAGAACATGCAAACAAATCAGCAGCCATTTTTCTCGTGTTTCCGCATGTTCCGCAGCGGACTCTTTCCCAAGCAACTGTATTCGGAAATGGGGTTTTATGTGAGACATGACGATCATATTGAGGTTTGTTGTTGACCTGTCTACGCAACACGATTCAAGAGACTGTCAAGTGTGAAATGTCGAAGCGAAGAACGAACCCGGAAAAGGTCTCGTCAAATGCGCGCAAAGACGGAACAGTCGGTATGTCTGCGAGGCTCCACCGTTTCTCGAAATCTGACGAATTGAGAGTACCAAAGCAGATATGTGGGCTAACGTAGTTATTAACATAAGGGGAGGTGCGGATTTTGAGAAACCTCTCAAACAAGGAAATTACGGACGTCCGAAAAGTTGTTACCATATTTATGGTGCACCATGTAATTCAGAACTAGGTTACTTTGAACCTGCGCTCACCCCACTCAACTAAACAAATCTTGATTCTATGAGTGAGTGAATCCGTTACATTTTTAGTATGAGAAATAAATCCTCCAGAGCAAAAGGATAGTAAAGTTTGAGTGAATATATAGGGCAACAGTGTAAGTATATTTCAAAGTAACAATGGATGAAGTGAAAGAATTATAGCCTTGTTAAAAACAACTCGAGCTGGTAGGAGTAGGCTATCACCATTCATTTGTATGTTGTGTATTTTGCAAGTGTACTGCTCGTTGTTGCTTTTAGTTTCATTAACAATATCTTATTTTGGAGCGAGTTGCTATGAGAACTGTATCTTAAACAACAAATTCGATAGCAAGGACATCCCACATCCAAGGTCTACTGCATCCATTTCTAAACTCAGATGTTAATTTCCTACCCTATAGACATATTCAGCTCTATTTTCTCGTTATTTCTTACTTTTCTTTTTGATCGTTAGATGGTTTCAGGATACACAAAATCGTCCGGGTGACAGACAAAACGGCCGAGCTGAGACGATGGATGCGCACTGGGTACCAAATACTCAACGCAAACCACAAGTGAGCGACTTTTTCGTGCTGCTCGCGAGTTCAGCTTTTATTTAGAACTATAATGGTGTTCAAACCCCTATTTGGGTTTTGCAATGACTTGTGGGCGCAGCGCTTTGATCGTTTTCGTTTGATGAAAAGTAATCATTACTCTCCACGTCCTAATTCCATTTGAGTTGAAGAAACCTCTCGAATCGATTTAAGAGTTCTTAAATGATAGCCAGGATTGTCCAGTCGCAAGGAAATATAAGTTCTTGCAGCTTAGTTCTTAATTTCAGACCGACTTTACTACGACTTAGAATGGAAGTTACATAGGTGATCCATCACATATGGAGGCATGGATATTTGATTTTAACTAGAATTACACCCAAACACTCGCTGAAAACGTTTTCCATGCTTCCTGGAAAGTGTTTCACCCGAAATTTCAGTTGCGGTTGAATAGTTTACCCTGACTCTGCTATCGATCTCTCTACTTGAGAAATAGTTGGCGCCATATTTTACCGAGCGTTTCGTTGCCGGGGCAAACATAGTAGACCAACAGTTATGAACATAAAAAGAGAAAAAAAAGACGAATGGGCGATTCCCTTTGAAGCCTGAAGATCTGAATTTCACTGTCATTCCCACTACGATCTGCTCGCAAGCTCGTTTTCAATTAGTGAAATGAAGAAAGGTGCTTGTTCAGGAACTTACTCGGAACTTCACTGGAATTTAGAGCGGAACTTCTCATGTTCCGTTAGAAGGACCGAGCTTTCACTAATAATCAACAAAGAATGAATGGGAAGGCTCGCATTCATATTAGAACTGCCCAACAACCTGTACAGTACTATTAAAAAAACGGAAAAATTTATTTAGTAGGCAGTGTAGGGAAGAATCGAAACCAAACGAGTTTACTCTTTCTTCCTGGGTCTTTGATTTGAATGACTAAGCTATTTATGTGAGTATTGATTTCAAGTGTACTCATGTGTGCCGTATAGAAATGCCACAAAGGCATCGTTAACAATAGCATTCAGCAGGTTACCCTTTCTCCTTTTGAAATCCTTGAATCCATTGAAAAGTGGAAAACTTCCACCAAAGCCATGTGTACCTAGCAAAGGTGCACTCGAGGCATTGTGGCAGAAATTCAAACTGAAACAGAATTGTTCGACGCTTCGGTGGACGCGACATGCTCACTCTTAATGAGGCATTAATAAGTGCATAAGCCCGTACACGGGGGGAAGAATGGTGAGGGCGACACTTGAAGTGAATGGAGACTTAACTCACAGTGAGCAAAGATTTCTACACTAGTTTATGACCTGATTGAAATAAAGCTGACAAAACTGAATGCGAGTCCGTGTTACCTGAAGAAAACCGAGGGTCAACAAATGAAGCGATGGAGACAACTCTCGGCTGGGGAGCGTCCCCAGCCATGAGGACAGCCATGTGAGCCTGTAGAGTTTTGAAAATACTCAGTACAGTAGATCATATCCACACCGATAAGAGACTCTCTATAGTGATACAAGAGAATAGGTTTCCGTTACGTCTCACGCTAATCGACTGGGAGAAAGGTTTTGATACTGCAGAGAAGAAACGATAATTCGAGCCTTGGGCGACTAGAGTATTCTTATTCAGTATAAAGCAATATTTGATGAGTTTCACAAAAATTTGTCGACCGACAGCTCGCTGCTCTACAAGGGAGTCAAAGTCAACGTGAAGAGAGGATTCAACAGTCTGATATCATCCGCTCGACCTCTTCAATGCCGTTCTCGAATTCGAACGGGAAAACGTAGATGGTGAAGGTCGACGACTGCTAGTTACATCATCTCTACTTTGCAAACGTCATCATGCTTATGACACTGAATATCGAGCAGGTAGAACGAGTGCTGGCTGAATTCGACACAGTTTGTGGAAGGATCGGCTTGCGACTGAACCCAGTGAAGACGATATTCGTGAAAAACGGATCGAAGAAGACAAAAATATCCTTGTTCGCACTCATCTTTTCTGCACAGCAGCGGCCTTACCTGATTTGACCGACACGTCTGAGACATTAAATTTGCACAAATATTGATAAAAAGTTCTTATCAATTTCGGAGGTTAAATTCACGACGAATTTATTTGGATCATGTCGAGATTGATGTAAAGTCGATCATGGAATATTCTGAACTTTACACAAGGGTGGCGTGCATGCAGCCATTGTCATTCAACGAGCTGTGGAAGGAGCAATGCTCGAAGTGTCCCTATGCACTCAAGTACAGGATTCCAAAGACCCGCGATCCTCTAGCGAATGAAAATCGCGGGCACACCATGATGACCGTTAAACGCGGTTACTGACTGGATCCCCTTGGAAGGAACACCAAGGCGGCCGCATAAAACGGCTTGGGCGAAAAGGGTTTACTGGGCTCCAGCGGCTCGCGTCAGGGACGGATGGAGACGTGGCTGGATCCCGTTCGAGCATGTCGATGATCAACTTGGTGCCAGATAATTCAGGTTATGTAGAGTGATAACACATACGACCGAAATATTGTATGAAAGTTAAGACATTCGACTATTTATCGTCTACAATCAATGATCAAGACACACCGTGACACGACAAGACAGATTTGGCAATCTGATGCTTCCGCGGTTAGTTGAGGTAGTAGGGAGAAGAGGTAGTAGCTGATGTCCAAGGAAATATTGTCACATATACGATGCACTGAAGAAAGAACTTGGCTTGAAAAAAGAACATCAGCCGTCATTGAAATCATGATGCAGGTCTTTGATTTTTGTATCACAAAATCCGTGTGGTGAACATGGTCCGTATTCAACGCGATCGTCACGCAACGTTTCTATGCATCGTGTCTAAACTCATCATTTAATAGTAGACTTATACGATGAACCTTTCTTCTCTCTTTAATGGCTTGGGAGATTTCGTTTCTCAGAAAATAACTGCGAAGGAATTCAAGCGGAATCTGGTGCAGCCCGCACAGGGAGTTAACCGGAAAAGGAAATGTTCAGTACTTCATTTAGTCGCTATCCGGCATTGGTGGCTTTCCGTACTTATTTCATGGCTATGAAACTACACATGTTCCAAAAAGACTTCACCAATTCTTGTTGATGTACCTGAGAGAATGGACTCGTGATTGCTTAGACCATAAGTTTATTATGCGAATGTACCAGTGCTATGAAAACATTTAGCACCGGTAGATCCGCATACCCGCTTTTCTGTTCCACTTCTTTCGCTCAACGGAGTTTCGTAACGCGCATTGGTGAGATATGGAGAGTGTTGCTGCGATGCTCTTACTACTTATGGCATGATTCTACTGTTAATTATTTTGTTTCTGAATTTCGTACTTGCTACTGCATCCTGCTACATTCCTTCTTGCGCGGCGCCTCTCTCGCCGCGACGATCCTACTGCACCACACCCTCAGAGAAGCTATTCATTTCTTTTCCTCGAGGTATAGAACGAAGTCTTCCGCAAGGTGCTCGTTACGAAGCAGTAGTAGCTACGGAGCAGTTTGGGCTTTGAGTCGTCACCGAGCTCGTGAATCGAGAGGATTGCCGGCGTTGAAATATGTTGCCCAATATTCACCCTTACTATTCAAAAATTCGCAATTTCGTATTTGTTTTTATTATTCTCTTTGTAATTGGGTCAGTTTTCTCTTTTTACATTTAATATGCTGTACAGTCCAACTCAGCTACTCGTGTTCTTTGAATTAATAGTTCAAGGTGATTCAAAAATCTTTATTTCGAAAATCATCATCTACCAAGGTTTTTGGGATTAGCATCGACGCTTGCTATAGTTATAATCAGAGAGCAATATCTTCCGATGAAGGTATTAAGTAAGGTATGAATTAGCTTCCCTTCACGAAACTTAGCAAAAGAGCCCCCTTTTTTCCGTTGAAATGATCATTTTGTCACCAATTTTTTGAAATGAATAAATTTGCCCCAGTCTGACTGGCTAATAGCGACTTTTGAATTGAAAGATGTAAGTATGAGTAACTCCCAGTCACATGACATACTTTTTTCAGAGCTGGCATTTTTTCATAGTTCTCAAGTTAGGGATAAAGGGATGAAATCTTTGTGCGTTGATCAATCCCGCCTGAGGGATGCGCCGTTCATTCGACTTCCATTAATCTTAGCGGCGTATTGAATGCGTGTATGACCCACACAATGACTTGCGGTAGGCAGCCGATGTACAAGTCAGTGCTTTTATCCTCCCAAACGAGCCTGGTACCATTCACTGACCCCAGAGGGAAGGATAGCTCGGTTGGCTAGGCGGATATCGATCCGAGATTCGAACACATGGCCGAGGGTGTGTGATAGTGTGCCACTTGCCACCACGCCACCTCCGAGCACTATTCAAATTATTAGGTTATTGCGGTCACAAATATTAGGTTAATGCGGAAGCCATGAAACACAAATTCTTGTTTATAATATTCTTGTGCCGTGCGAGGTTGTTAGATGGAAGAGTTTATTAGTCAACGTCCTAAGGTTTCGAGGCTCTCGTCGTCTTCAGAGGCCAAGGTTCCACCGCTCAAGCAGATAAAATCCGCTACTGACATCGCCCGTGGCCACACCGGATTTTGGACACGGCACAGGAATATTGTAATCATAAACAACTATGCCGAGGTTCAAGCAAGAGAGAAGTTGGAGACTATTTGACAAATTCTTGAGCACGTGTTGCTTTTTCTCTGCAAGTTTCATTGCCGCTCTCGAATAACCATCACATTCCAGGAAGTAATGTCACGGTCATACCACTAATATTTAATCTCCAGTAAAATCGAGCAATGCTATTATTAGTCGTTTATTCGCTCGTTTTCATTCTGAACGTACGAGTCTCTACGGCGCGGTTCGGGCGACCGATTGCTATTGATGATGACCGACTCCTCAACGAAGTAAAGAAAAGGAGGCCGGCGGCTACAAGACGGGAAGGGCGAAGTTTCGCGTAAGTTCAGAGCAACGCCACTCGACATCCTTACGAACGCTTCCTCCTTGTCCCCTACCTATTCCCTTGTCCCAGTCCCTTCTGATTATCACCTCTTTAAAACCCTCAAGCAGTTCCTGGCCAATAGGAAGTTCGCAGTTTCGTTTATGACCTCAGAAATGCTGTGACTGGATTCCTCATTCTTAATTCTCCTTCTTCTGGGAAATGAGAATAAGTTAGACCTATACAGTTGACCTATACACATATATAATTTAATATATGCATATATGCAAGTAAACAAATGCTTATTAAAAATGAGTATTAGTCCCATGTGGACGATCTATTTTACTAATCTATCCTACGCGTTAAGAGTGTTTGCTCGAAATAAATGTTTGAGCGAGAATTCGTAACTCTCTAGAGCGTTCAAATTTGGTAGGCAATATGAGAACACTTATGGTGGGTGATTGGAAGATTCATAACTCAAATTTCTCAAGACCCATAGGGCTCAAATTTGGTAGAAGTAGGGAGTACAGAGACAAGAGGGGAACATTGAGAACATTGATGCTAGGTAGTTGTACTAGACTCCGCCCGCACCGGACGGGGCTTGCGAGAAAATTACTAATGTGGAACTAGAGCGTTCAGGTTTGGCAGGAATACAGGGCCAGGGTTAGGACACCGATGGTTGGCAGTAGAAAAATACAGAACTGGATCCCGCTTATGAGGGTGTAGGGAGTGAACCATGCTGCTTGAACACGCAGGACTTTGCTCATTGCTGGCGGGCAGAGGCGCACTAAGCGTGTTGGTGTGTTTTGGTAAAAATCAATAGCTCCTGTTCTCTTAGGCCAGGGCTCTTGAACCTGAGATAACACAGGCGGCTGTCGAGTTCAACACAAGAAAGGGAGAGCTCGGGATCAGCCGAGCGATCAGGTAGTTATAAGTTCCTGGTCGCGCCCGTAATCAGTACCGTGAGCAACCTGACACATTGACTGTGTAGGAATCTGTATTAGGTATTATTTGATTAAGAATCGAAACACCATCAAATAGGGCATGTCGGTCTCAGTGAGTGCGATTCAATGGGGAAGGGTCTGTGGTTGTGGTTGTGCGCTTTGTCGTCAAGTCCACGTGTTGATGAAAACGTGAATGTAAAGGCTCAGTCCCACCCTGTGCGCTGAAAGAGAACATGATAGGTTAATATGAGATTTGCCAATCCAAAATCCATCGAAAAATGAGTGCTTCACACAACTGCTTCAATTGCAAGGTTCAATACAAGAAATCTAACACCCACCCTTCCCTAGTATATCCATACTTCTGTTCATACTCATCCTGTAGTAGCTACTACTTGTATAATGTCGTTTGCATGAGGAAACGCGCTCATTATTGAGTTGCTCAAGTGAATCGTTTGGTCACTATCTTCTGCCCCTGTTAAAAATCAGCTGATTATATTCTTAAAGGCGCTGTTCGCGATGATTCAATGGGCGGGTGTGTCGATGACGTGTCCGCCCATTGATCATCGCGAACAGTGCCTTCATGCTGGCCAAACTATGCCTTGGGAAGTCTAGCTGAGATCAGAGGGTTGCTATAGCTATTACAACCATCAAAGTATAGTCCACTCGTGGAACTGCTGGTTACCGGAAGCTGTTGTTGAAGGACGGCGTCTTTTTTTTTACTTCGTACTTCAACCTTCAGCAATTATGAGAGAACGAAATGAACGAGGGTGGCAAAGTGCTTATTCAGAAGCCACTAGGTGGGTGAGATATTTGACTGCAATCACATGCTTATGCTGCCTATGCTACCTCTTACCTATCCGTCCCATCTGGTTACTCGTATGCCATTTTGAGATCCGTGAAGGCCAAAGGTTATGATCATTGGCGCAGAGATGGGTCAAGCGGTGGAGGAAGCACTCCATTTTCCATAATATGTTCTGCCACGATCTTTTTTACTAACGAATTGAGGGGGAGGGTGAAGGAGGGGAGGGGGGGGGGGGGGGGGGGGGGGGGGGGGGAGATTAGTGAGCTTTGCACATATGTACGTTTGGAAAACTGGGGAAAGTGCGATTGGTCAGAAACTGTTGCCGCAATGAGCATCATCCTCGTGTAACCCTCATCTCCTGACTGCCCTAGAAGAAGAAATGAACGCTGAAGCTCTTTGATACTAGGAAGACACTGGTAATCACTCCCTCTCAGTGACTTTAGGTCCATTCTAATATTTTTCAATTATACGTCTCTTCACTTCCGAATTTCTATGGACAGGTAAGTTGAATAAGAACGAGCCGCGAATGATGCTTATATGCGGGTAGCCCTGATTCATACAGTCCAGTTCTGCATGCATGTTTCTGAAACTCTTGATCTGCAGTTTTATTATCTACAAGTGGATTTCGAGATTGAGACTTTATTTGGATTATAATTCACTGTAGTTGACACACAACCAGTTGCCTCTTACAACTAAAGCTTATTAGCCGATACTGAGCACAAAGCAATTTTATTTGGCTCATTCGTCAGCTGGTCATAATCTGAAATAGGAAACCTATCTAGAGCACCCGCCAACTACTTGTGATTCGCTACACAGTCTACCGCTTGAATCTCAGATATACACATCTA